ATACTGAATGTGAAATCCTGATTTATAAACACAGCGGACTCTAACTGTTTAGAAGGTTAAATGAAACAATGCGTATGCATAGGACAGTACAGGGCAGATCGCAAAAGTTCAAGAAGAAAAAAGGTCAGCCGCAGTTCTCGCCGTCATCCGGCCCCCGCCTCAAAGCTCTGAACTAACCCAACTCAGCATTTTCACCGCACTTTCAGACACGGCAAGGAACACCCCCAGAAGGCTGTAAGTCAGTTAAAATTAGGCAAAATTAAACAGCCGCAGTAGCCACACTTTAAGTGTTCTGCAGCCACCCGCCGCCAGGGACTTTCCATGATCACAAAATGCGATCAGAGCACTGGGGCCCGGCCGGAGGCTCGGGGCACTCAAAGGGCCCTGGCGGAACCCCGAGTCTCTAAAAGACACGCAGGCACAGCGGACTGGCTGCCTTACTTCGGAGGTCGCGGAAAGACATGGCGAACCGGTCCTGGGAACCAGGGTCACAACGGAGAGCCGCTCAGCATCCGCGGGCCGGGCGCTCGCTGGTTTATATGGCAACCCGCGGAGCCCTGGACGGCGTACCGTCAGGGTCAAACAAGACGGGACGCGGAAAAGCTGCAGTGCGTGCACGCGCACGGGGAAAAATGGCCGGCAGGGGGAGCCTCTTAGGCTCCAAGAGCAGGGGACGTTGTCATCCCGGCCCCGCGAGGGTGATATGAGCCTCAAAGCCACCTTTTTTTTTTTTTTTTTGGTGGCTTTGAGACGGGGTTTCACTATGCAGTTCAGGCTGACCTTGAACTCACTTTGTAGCCCACGCTGGCCTTGAATTCATGGCGATCCTCCTGCCTCAGCTTCCCAAGTGCTGGGATTACAAAGAGCCACTTTTGACGGTTTATCGGGCAGTTGACACTGACTGACAGCCTGAGTGCCCACTGTGTGCCTCACAATGTGTTAGGCGCTTCTTACACTGTTTCTCATTCTCTCTCATTCCATGAAGCCAGGTCTCCCTTGAGTCCTGTGCATAGCACACTTTCTCCCTGCCACGTGTAAAATGGTAGGCCCTGTGGATTAAGCTACCAATAGAGTATCTGCGGTGTGGAAGGCAGGAGGACACACCGGCCTGGGCTGAGCGCAGGGCACCGAGAGACACATGCCCTGCCGCGATCTCGCACTTGCGCAGCCAGTTTAGTTTTCATGACTGTCGGTCCGAGCTTTGCTGTTCTGTTTCGCCAGGGGCAAACTGGGAGTAGCCCCGGGTGGGGTGCTCTAAAGCTCAGGGACCGCCCCTAGCACATGGGTAAGTGAGCCCTGCGCCCCGCAGGTACCCCCCCTGGGTAGCTGCTAGTGGCACGGGAAAACTAGAGACAACGGACTGGTCAGGGAAATGAGCTAAGCCCGGAAGGGTAGGCCAAGACGGGATCAGACCCCAAGGTGGGGAGGTGCAGGGTCTGGTGATGCCTTTTACCTTGCATCATGGTATTGGCCACGTGTTAGACGCTTAGGGACTTAGTATGTAAAACTTGAGGGAGTTCTGAAATAGAGCCACACATCAAAAAGGTGAGGATATACTTGAATGGGGAAGGAATAGCCTTTTCAGTAAATGCTACCTATCTTTTTTTTTTTTTTTTGGTTTTGGTTTTTTTCCGGTACCGGGAACCGAACTCACGACCTTGCACTTGCCAGGCAGGCGCTTTGCCGCTGAGCTAAATCCCCAGCCCCTAGCTAAATTCCCAGCCCCTAGTAAATGCTTTTGGATCTGAAAATCCAAACCAAATTAATGAACCGCCTTTTAAATCTGGCAGTGCTTATAAAAATTAAAGTGGTTCACAAATCTGAATGTAAAACCTAGATTTTCTAGAAGGCCATTTACGAGGAAACTTTTTGTTTTATTTTGGGTCTGTTTTTTGAGGACAGGGTCTCGCTTTACACAGTTCAGGCTGACCTTGTGAGCTCACTTTGTAGCCCAGGCTGATCTCAAACTTGCAAGGATCCTCCTTCCTCAGCCTCCCGAATGCTGGGTTAAGGAGCAAACTTATGTGACTGGGTTAGGTAACATTTGCTAGACACATCAAAAGCATGGTATCTAAATAAAAAAATCTTTTGGGATAAACTGGACTTCATCAAAGTAGAAGACTCCTGCTCTTCAAAAGGAACTGTTGAAGAAAATTCAACAAATTGAATTTAGTGATCAAATTGGCATTTGTTATGGATTCATGCAGGAGCAGCATCCGTCTATGAAACAGGAAGCTGCTCCAGCAGGCATGGCCGAACAGTTGGGTTTTTAATGAAGCCTGTGCAAGGACAAAGAAACAGCAAAATAGTGGCTTAACATATGGTTACTTTTCTTGCACGGGTTAAAGCAGAGGCAACTTCTTTGTCAAGCTGGCTCGTGTTGATTGGCTTTAGGAGTGGTTGCTACAAATCTTGTTTTTTGTAAAACTGGTTCCTTTCTAATTTCAGTTTGATGCATTATGTGGCACCTAGCAGGAGTGGCTTCATTCTACTTTGGTCTGGTCTGTTAACATTGCTGTAGGCAACTGAGTAGATAGAAATATTAGATAAAAATATTATAGGCAGTCAGACAGGGCTAGGCCCTCAAAGGAGCCAGTATGGAAGACAAGATACCTTGCGACTGTGAGAGAGAGAGGCACTTCTCCTGTGGGCCAGACCTCGAGACAAAAGATTAAATAAATGGTGCCCACATACCTCCCTAGGGATGGACATCAGGGATTGATATTCTAAATAGGTATCAATCACCTTGAAAAAGCCAGGAAGAGTCACTAACCCAACCCCCTACAGGAAAGGCCCTTGTTCTGCCTTCGTGCCTGCTTGCTATGTGACTTGCTTCCCCATTTGGTCCTGATTTAATCAATTTTACCTAAACAATTATACTTGTAATCTTATTGGCTGGCCATAATTTTGTCCCATTTTTCCCCACCTTGGACCCACCTCACCTCGTGGTTTTGCTCTGTAAAATCCCTAGGAAAGGCAAGGTCCTTGGCAACCCACTCAGGCTCCCTTCTGTCCCTTTCTCAGACAGAAGCTTTCTTTCCCTCAATAAATATATTCTGCTCTTAACTCCGTTGTACCTAAAATTCATTCTTTGATTTTAGAGAAAATGAACTCGTCCCAGATATCTTTCAGATTAGGAGTTTCTTTCCCCTATATCAACATGGTCTCCCATAAATTTTATTTAACAACATTTAAGAAAAAATGTTAACCCACAGCCTGGAAGAAATTAATTGCAAAACACATAGTTGCTTTTTTTTTAAAGCCTTGTATCTAGAATATATAGAGCTCTCAACACTTACTAAGAAGACAATACAATTTAAAAATGGACCAAAAAAACCTTAAGATACATCCAAAAGGTCTTGGCACTCCTGTTAGAATCATCACTATGTGGATTCATTTCTGAGCTCTCTCTTCTGTTCCACTGATGTAGATATCTATCCTTATGCCAGTTCTCCATTATTTTGATTAATGTTAACTTTGTAGTAACTTTTGAATTCAAAACATATAAATCCTCAATCTTTGTTTTCCTTTTTGAAGAATATGCCAGCTGTGTGTGGTGGTGCACACCTATAATGCCGGCACTTAAGAGGATGAGGCAGGGGGATAGCCAGCCTGGGCTATATAGTGAATTCAAGGCCAGCCTGGAATACATAGCATGACTTTATCTCAAAAAACAAAAAGGAGAGCAGGGTGGAGAGTCCAGGATCAGAGGGAGAAAAAAGGAAAAAAAAAAAGAATGTTGTTGGGGGTAGGATGGTAGCACACACCAGTAGTTACAGCTACTTGGGAGGCTAAGGCAGGATCACTGCAAGTTTGAGGTCAGCCTGAACTACACAGTTAAAACCTGTCTCAAACATACCCCTCCAAAAACAATTTAAAAAGGTAAAAGATATAGCTCAGTGGTACAGCACTTGCCTAACATGTGCAAGGCCATGGCTTTAGTCCCCAGTACCACAAAGCAAAATAAGAATGCTGCAGACAGTTGGACTCCCTTGTAATTCCACATGAATTTTAGGATGTCTTTAAATTTTTGCCTGTAACGGTTAATTTCATTTGTCAACTTGATTGTGCTAAGGGATTCCCAGATAGCTAGCTAAATATTTCCAGGTGTACCTGGCATAATGTTTTGAGAAGAAATTAGCATTTAAATTGGTACACTGAATAAAGCAGGTGAGTATTGGCCAAACAGTTAGGGGTCCAGTTAAAAAGGGAGGAGAGCCAGGCATGGTGGCACACGCCTGTAATCCCAGCACTCGGAAGGCTGAGGCAGGATGATCGTTGCAAGTTTGAGACCAGCCTGGGCTACAAAGGGAGCTCAAGGCCAGTCTGAACTGCATAGTGAGACCCTCTCTCAAAAAGACCAAAAATAAATTTAAAAAAATAAATAAATAAATAAAAATAAATAAATAAAATGGTAGGGGAGAAGTTTTTAAGCTGGGGATCCATCCATCCTCTGCCCTTAGACACTGGAGTTCCTGGTTCTCAGGCCTTTCTGCTTACACCAGCTCTACCCCATTCCCATTGCAGTTCTCAGGTCTTCAGACTTGGATTTAATTACACCACTGGCTTTTGTGATTTTCCAGGCTGCACGCAGTGTGTTGTGGGATCTTTTGACCTCCATAATCACACAAGCTAATTCCCTTAATAAATCTTTTAAAAAACATTTCTATTTATTTGGAGGAACCTAACACATTGCTTAAAAGCCTTACCAGGTCTTTATCCCAAACCTTCATTTCCCACCAACACAGGAGAAAGCTAAAATGCTAAGAGTCACTGCAGAAAATGACTTTCCAGCCTGCCAGAGTTGACTTTGTTTTATAGAGTCTATGCTAAGCCGGAGGAACCAGGAATTTCCTCCAGGATTTTGGCCTGTTCTCTTGCCCTCCTCCTTACCCTGCCCATGCCCTGAACATCATGCTTCCCCAAACTTTAGGAGTGTGCCTAGAAAGGTTTAGAAAGGCTGTCTTCCCTGTGACATCATAAGAGCCAGTTGCCACGGGAGCCCTCTAGCCCCACCCCTAGGCAGGGGAGAGCAGGGCCCTCCAGCACATAAGGCCTGGCCACTCCTCCCCCAGCACACTGGCCCTCCATGGAAGCCTTGGTCTGTGCATTCTCTGAGCTGCGCATAAGAGAAGGTGCCAGGCCGCAGGAAAGAGTGGCAGAAGAAATGCCCTGCTTTCCCAACATGGGCCCAAAGCCACTGGGGTGGTCTCAGGGACATGCATGGTTAGAAGAGGGGAATAGTCACTGATCCACGCCCTATGACCCTGAGCTGGTCACATCCTCTGGGGTCCACTGTGCAACTTGTATACCTGGGCTTGGATGTTCTTTCTAGGGTCAGGGGCACCAATGGGTGGCACCAGAGGAAGTGCTAAAAGGGATCTCAGTGCTGAGGTTCTAGACTCCTTATGTGTCCATGTTGGTTGGAAAAATGAATAGGGTGGAAGTCGGGCAGAGGCAGGAAATCAAACCCATTTTACAGACAAATAAGCTGGGTTGGATGGTAGGAGAGCCCACTACACAAGCTGGTCTCAGAGGCAGGAACCTGCTTTCTCCCTTCATGAACACTGGGCTGGCTGGCTGCTACCTTCCCACTTTCCCCACTGCAGATGCAGTGAGCTGGGCCGGAGGACACGCCAGCCACCCCGACATACCACCCAACATCTACGAGGGGGGGCTGGGGACCCAGCAGGAGCAGTGCCCCGGTGTCCAGGGAAGCAAGCCCAAGAACTTCCGGCTGCGCCACCTCCGGAGCCTGGCTCTCTACCTGCCGGGCCACATGCAGCCCACCAGTAAGGCTGAGAGTGCCTTGCAGGGCCGGCTCCTGGTCGGAGACTGCCTGCCACAGCCTGAGGACTCAGCCTGGCCCCTGGACCTGCCACAGGGAGCTCGGGGTCCAGGTAACAGCCCCTGCTCAGCTTTTCTGGAAGCCCAACTGCCCAGGGACAGCCTGGGAAATACAGGTGAGCTCTGTTGGGGGAGGACTGGGGAGTGGAGGGGAAACCTCAAGAGACCCAGATGGCCCTTGTCCACTCCTTCTCCGGGGACCAGGAAGGGACATATGGCCAGTCCCCCTGCCCCCGAGATGTGATGTCATGTACAAGGGGCCAAGATCTTTATCAGTTTGTCCCCACGCCCCTGTGCCCCAGTTAGGCTGAAACCACAGATGTGCCCAAGTCATAAAGTCCCCGGGCCCCTTGGTCTTGGTGGTGGTAGTGCACAGCTGGGCCAGGGCCGGAGTGTCCGATGGCAGGATGTGTCAGGCAAAGAGGAGCTCTGGGCTCAAGAGTTCTGTGTTCCTGGCCTAGCTCTGCATTTGAAGAGGGACCTTGGACAACTCTCTCCTTGCTGAACCTCAGTTTCTCCATTTGAGGGGCTCAGGATAGATTAGGGTCCTGCCAGTCTGAGCCCCTCACCTCTCTCTCTCCCAGACCAACTCTTTCAAAGAAGAAATTCTACCCAACCCCCTTCTGTTTTGCAGCATGTCCAGTTCTGGGGACCCCAGGGTGGGCTGCCAGCTTCCCCCGCAGCCTCCCTTTGGGTCTCTCGGATGACTTTCCCCTTTCCTCTTTCCTCAGCTTCCAGCTCCAGCATGGACCCAGCAAAGGGTGTCCTCTTCCAGCCTGAGTCTCATGAGAGCCTGGGGCTCCGACCCAAGAGGTCCTGGGGGACCCTGGAGGAGGCCATGTGTCCCTTGTGCAAGAGAACCCGCTCTGGAGCCTTGGAGAGGTCATAGGGATCCCAGTGCCAGGGGTGGGGACAGTGGGGCAAGGATGGCTGAGGAAGAGGCACCAGGTCCAGAGGAAGGACTCAGCCCAAACAGCGATCCTCCCACTGGGATGCCCCCTGCCCTCCGCAACTGCCCAGCTCCAGACCTGGGCCCGCCTCAGAAAAGCGCAGGGAGGGGGAAGTCCTGCGGGAGGGACAGAAGAAATGGAAGCATGGCCCTGCCCTTGCAGCCTGCCCCAAGTCCAGTCAGCCCCTTGTACCAGGGAGGCCAGGCCAAGACTCAGGGGAATCAGGTTCCTGAGAGGCTAGAAAGCCTTCAGGTCTAATCACATTAAAAGCCAAGGCCTGCACCTTCTTGTCCATCTGTCTTCAGTCCAGTTCAGACAGACAAGCAGCCCAAGCCAACTCCAGGGCACTCTTGCCGTAAGCTAGGGTGCATGACAGTCACAAGCTGCGTAAGAGGGCTTCCTGGAGGTGGAGTCACTAAAGTGGCTCTACAGGGTGGGCAGGGTCTCACAGGCCTCAATGCAGACCTTTCACCCCAGACCCAGGGTACCAGGGAAGCAACTGGGAAATGTTGGCCTGGACCCTGCATAGCCTCCAGGGAGGGCTTGGTTCAACCTGAAGTTGAAGGGGACAGTGACCTCAGGAGGAAGAATAGTGACAGCAGGGTTTTGGAAACTTGTGTCCAAAGGCAGCAGGAGATGGGGCAGGTGTGGGAGCGACACAGTTGGCCAGTGGTCCCCCCAGTGAGTTTTAATAGGTGAAAAAGGGGCAGCTGCCTCCGCCCTCCCCAACACTCACTCCCTTGGACCTGAAGGCAGATGAAGCTGGGACTAAAGGTAAGACACGAGAGGGGCTGGCTGCCCCTGTCACCCATGGAGGCCTGGGTGGGGCTGCTGCCAGGGGCACTGGCCAGAAGTGCCAGAAGCCAGCAACACAAGGTCCTTGGAAAACAAGGGGGCCTGAGCCCCTCACTTCTGAACATACTAGAGGCTCAGGAGCAGACTGGCCAAGTCCAGACCCTAGAAGCCTGGGCTATGGTCAGTCAGTGGCCATGTAGATGACCCCTGGCAACCCTTATGCAGTCTCTCTGGGTCCTTCTTTTCCAGTAAAAAGTGGCAGGAGGGACATGGTATCACTTTTGGGTGGTAGGGGGGCCTGGAGGCCTCCAAAGTTGCTGTGGGGGAGGTCAGTGGTCACATAAGGAGTCAGTTGTCCCGAGGACCCTACCGTGGGCTACCGACCTAGCCCGGGAAAAACATAACCGTGGCCCAGTTCACTGTATAGACAGGAGGTATAGACGCTCCAGCCCTTCCTGATCACAGAACTGTAACGGCACAGCTGCCAGCTAGACTGCTGAGTTTGGGTGCCTCCTGAAGCCATGGTCTGGGCGCTCTCCCCTAGAAAAGCCACCTGCAGCTGCCACACGCTGGTCCCACAGGAAACTGCCCTCTAGGCAGTTCCTTTCGAACACTTGCACGAGCTTTACTGAAAAGCACTACAAATGGACTGAGAAGCAGAAAAGCAACTGTCACAGCATGCCGGGAATGTGTCAGTGTGGAACGCTCTACGGGCTCCCAGATACTCAGGCAACTGTGCCTTGAAACACTCGTCTCTGATCCCCTAAGTGCCAGGGGGTTGGAAGCTTAGTTGGAATCCCTGCCCTTGGGAAGATGGTTCTAGAAGTATGAGGGCTTGTATGGGCTGTTGTGGTGATCTCCAAACTGGACCCTGCTCTCTCAAATGGCATGCACAGGGGCTAAGGACACTGAGGCTTCCTGGTAAGGGGTGCAATCACCACCGAGGGTTCTTAGTAAGCTCCCCCTCAGCCTGGGGCAGAGCCGGCTTCCTTTAGCTGGTCTCTGTCCTAAGTCCTGGGGAAGCTGTGCGAGGCTTCTGCTTCTCCCTAGGGACTGCACTTCTTTTCTGCCTCAGTAGGGCTTGAAGTCTGGTGGCCCAGCTCTGTGGTTACGGAGCTTTGTGAGGCCAGGAGCAGCAGGTACCATGCTGTCACCCTGTGGCCTCCCACCAAAGCAGGGTGGCTGAGGTGCCTGACAGGCTGGAAGGCCAGGACACTCTTGGGTAGAGACGCTCAGTGCAACCGCACCTAGGTACATGGACACTTGTTCTCACAGTAGCGTCCACTGACAGCTCCAAGATACACACCGAGGTCAGAGTGCGGCTACCTGAGGTGGTAGACACAGTGACCACTGGAATACAAGCTGAACAGGACAGGAAGCAGGTGAAATAAAACAATATAAGCTACCCTGCAACTCTGGCACTGTTCCTGGTGCAGGTTCGGAGACGCTCCTGTCCGCAGCACACAGCACAGATGCCTGGCCCGGAATCTGTGATGACGAGGAAAGGGCTGCCTTTTCATGGCAGTCCTGATGTGGCTCCCGCTCAGGTGTGAAGACCAAGCCGCTCTCCAAAATGCACAAAATGTTCAGGGGGAGAGGGAGAGGGGCAGCCACAATTAGCCACTTGACCCAGATGCCATAGTCCACGGTGCCAGACAAGCCACAGAGTCCCACCACCTGGGACGTGGCCCCAAGTCTGAGGTGACAGTAGGGAAATAATTCCTGGTTCTTAGGCTCTGCTTCCAGAGCAGGACTGGAGTCCGAGCCACATCTGGGACAAGTTGGGGGTGGAAGTGGTGGGTGACAGACTAACCGTAGCGCAGGCTTCTCCCTCCCTGGTTGGTACTGGGAACACGGGGACATAAGTAGCAAAGTGGCACATGCAAGCTTCATAGGGTTTCTCGTCACACAAACTGCAGCTCTTGGTGATTCCCCAGCCCGTCAGTTCTCAGCCATCTACTGTGGATGCAAACATGGCACTTCCCCAGGGGTGGCCAGGTTTCCAGGGGAGGCTGGCGGAAGCCCCTGGTCTGTGCCTGGCTGGCCCAGGGCCCTTGGTGACCATGAAGCTGAACTGCCCTTGCAGCCTTCTCTAAGCCAGACAGAGCCCACCTGGACCAGGCCCCAGCTCGGGTTCAAGAGCCAGGGAGCCAGCCTGACCTAAAAGGGCACCTGGTGAGCAACCTTCCACCGAGGATCAACCACTTCTGCTTTTCAGCTCTAGAGGCCCTTTCCCAGTTCTCACTCCTCAGCAGGGCTAATTACAGAACAGTCCTCCTGCTGGCAGAAGCCGTCACCAGGGTCTCAGCAAGCAGCAGCTCCCGAGCCCTCACCCACAGCCCAGCAGAGTAAGCCAGGTGCTGGAGACACAATGAGACCAGTTACAGTCTATTTATTTATAATGAGACAAAACACTACCATCTATTCAACATGGGCTGGACACTGCCATGATTAGAGGGCAGGAGGGAGGGTAAGGCGGGGCAAGGCCTCTGAGCTGGATTACAAATGTCCAAGGGGGAGCCTTCTGGAAGACTCTTCCCTGACCACATGGGACAGAAATTAGAATCAGATGATCACTGTTGATTGAGAGGAGAGAGGACTCAGATCTGGGGCCTTGGCATACAGCCGATGCTAGTCAGCACAATCCGGGCCACCGGCTGGCCAACACCGTTGCGGAAGTGGGACCTTCTTCCTGCTGGGGCCTGCCTGCATCATGAGGACCCTTTGAGGCTACAGGGAGGCCCGGTCCTGGAAGAAAGCACTCAGTCACCAAGGCCCCATCTGCAGGGCTGTTCCTCTCTCCTCTTCTTCAGGCTGCTTGGCAAGGGCCTGCAAGGACATTCTGCCCTGCTTCCTGTGACAGTGCAGCAGTGCTAGGCAGGACACAGCAGCAAGTGGCCTGCGGTCCAGGATGAGGGACACTAGAAGTGTGTGATGAATGCACACTGCAAGCATGATTTATGAGGTTAACATAGCCTTTGCTCTTGGAGGCTGAAGGGCCACAAGCATGGACTGTCTCCTGCCCCTACAGCCAGGCCGTACTAGCGCACGGCAGCAGAGTTGCCCAATGTGGGACTTGACCTCCTCTTGTACCTGGCCAGGCCTGGAGTTTCAGCTCACAGGGGACAGGCACCGCAGGGCCCCAGGGGCCCCATCTACAGGTCAGCTCCCAGCACAGGTCAGCTGCATGGAGCATGCCATGAGCCAAGAGGCAAGATGATCCCCCCAGAATGGGAAATGTGTAGCAGGAGGCAGGCCACTGAGTAGCAGGAAAATGTCCCATGGTCGGTCTGTGCCAAAGGCTAAGCCCTGGAGCTCCATGCTCTCATGTAGAGCTATGCCTCCTCTGCGCACCCCTTGCCAGCCTCTCATGGAGGCTTCTTCAGGCTGGTCCTCAACAAAAGGCCTGGCATTCCTTTCTATTGTTCTGAGGTTCCTATGTCTTCAGGCTCAGCGGTGTCCACAGTTTCTTCTTTGGAGCAGAAAATCCAGTCTGGCTTTGCAGGAAGGAGTTGACAGGGGGCCAGTGCAATGGGAGAGGCCCAGCGCAAGTGCCTGGAGGCAGGACCTGGGCACTAGGTGGAGGTCAAAGTTTCCAGAAGCAAGGAGTAGAGCCAAGGAGCCTGGAGGAAAGAGAACAGGGTAGGGTAAAGGCACTGTGGAACACTCACCCACTCCCTGCCTAGCCTATGGGATTCAGGGGACCAGGGCACCCCCAGGGCATGTTCCCTTCTCCAGGGCTGTAATTCATGCCACTGGTCACCAGGCTCTTCTCAGTCCTAGCACAAATAAAAGCACTGAGAGCTCCACCCATGGATATATACCCCAGGGAGCCAGAGAGCTGTCAGGTCATACAAGCGGTTGGGCTCTGGAGTCCCAACATCCCTTCTAGCTCTGGTATCCTTTGGACCTGGGGGAGACCAGCTCCCAGAGGCACTCACACATGCGGCAGAAGTTTTACCTCCTCCAAGGTGCCTACCTGAGCCAAGCACATAGAGGACTTTGGTATGTGAGGAATTTCTGGAAACAGACTGAAGACACAAATGTTATGGCCTGTATGAAGACGTTCCCCCAAAGCCTCACATGCTCATAGGTGGGGACTTTTGGAAATGGCTCAATCTAGGGTGTGTGATGGTGGGATTAAGGGCGGGTAGCCTAGATGGAATGTAAGGGACAGAAACAATGCTTGCTGCTGCTTCTGTTGTTTTGCTGCTTATCTGCTGCTGTCTCCTGCCTGCTCTACGATGCCCTCTGCCATGCCACCCTGCTTTGGAGCCAGCCGCCTATGGACTGAAACCTCTATAAGCCGAAATAAACCTTTAACTTTGGGTGTTGGTATTTTGTCTCAGCAATGAGAACACTGTAAGTCACTGGGACCTCTGGCAAGGGGAAACTGAGCAACTGCGGGAGACAGGTAGGAGGGACTGGATTCTTGAATCATGTGATCACATTATCTAACAGGAAGTAAAAAGTTTTGACCAGGGGTTTAAGCTGTCTGGCACCCTGCTCTCCTTTACAAAGCTTCTGAGTCAGCTGGGAACTGCTCACAGGTGCCTGTCTGCAGACCTCTGTGTTTGCTGTTGGCAGTGCCCACTGTCCCATGGTCTGTCTGAGCCAGAGGCTAAGCCCTGGAGCCCTGTGCTCTCTGGACAGCTATGCCCTCTCTACCCACCATGTGCGAGCCTCTCATGGAGGGGTGGAGGCCACTCTTACCTGTTGGAGACTGGATGCATGCTCTGCTCCCGAGCCCACGTAGCACCAGGCCTGCAGCTGGGGCAGGCAGGCCAACAGGCTGGCAAGTGGCTACCACCTCCTCTCGGAGAGCAGCAGACGTTAGATGGACAAGAAGGTGGGCTCTGCAGGTGGTAAGGTGTGAGGCCTGGTAGAGGCTGCCCCGCTGGCATCACATGGTGCGGCTATACTCGATGCCACCCTTGGTGGAGATCCCCGACCATGGCAAGAAGCTGCAGAGCAGGCTGTGGGCCTGGCGGTAGATCCTGTGCGGGATGGAGCAGGGGCTCAGGCTGGCGAGTGCTGAGCCCAGGTGCTGGATGTAGTCTGTGGGTCCCGTCAAGGAAGACCAACTTGCCCCAACCTGCCTTGCCCAGGTGCACTATCTTCAGCGCCCACTCAACGATCCATACAGCACTGTGCACAGACAGCATGCAGGACTCAGGGGCACTCAGGAGCCCCACCGAAGTCTGCGGAGCACTGGAAAGGCTTATTAGATAGTTTCCGCTTTGTAGAATAAGGGGTGGAGTCTGAGAACCAGAGCATTTCTGGGTAAAGCCTCAGATGAGCGAACAGGAGACCTACACTGAAGTGACACGAAGGGAGGGGGACAGGGGACAGGCAAAAGACAAGTATGTGTTCCTGGTTTTCCCCCAGTCTCGACACTCAGAGCAGCCAGAGGGACAGGTCCCTGTCCCTATGAGGGGCACCTCAAAAGTGCTGACCCCAGGATGTGTGGACACCCACAGAGAACTGACTTCATGTGATCCAGGGGCCGACAGGCCTTGAGCTCACCTTGCATTTTTCTCTGTGCTCTCTCTGAATGAGTGAACCCCAGACTCACTGACTTGAAAACTCACATGGACTCCCGCTCAGTACCTCTGGACCCACTACGACTGCTATGATCTCTCCCAGCCTCCTTCCTGCACAGGCAAGTTCTGTTCCCTGTTGAGCCGCACCCTGAGAATCAGAGGCTCTCCATCAGTACCTGCTGAGCGGATAGATGGATCTCAGGCCAAGAGAGTTACAACCCATCACCTCCACCAGGCTGAAGATGGGGAACACTGGGTGCCAGACAGCACCTGTTTTCCCATCATGAATGATCGGACTGTTTGTACCAGACCTGCCCACAGTAAAAGCCAGTCGCCTGACCATCACCCGGAGGTGACTACCGTCCCAGCTAGCTCACTGCCTCTGCCAGCCCTCCAGCCAGGAAGCCATGAGCTCTCTGTACCAGCAGTAAAGGATATAAGATAGTCCAGGGAGGGTGGCCACCATTGATGTAGAGGACATACGTGAAGCCATCTTTGAGGACCCCTCGGATGGAGTAGTAATAAGGCAGATAGTGATGCTGCCTAAAGTCTCTGTTTTCATAGAAGTTTATCGCTGTGTTGTTGGTGGTGAGGACATGCAGGTAGATGGCTTTGCAGTGGTCCTGGGCAGTGGTTGATATGTGATCCTTTAAACTTTCAAGTAAAAGGGAACCTTGGGAGAAGAGGTAAAGGTTACACACGGTGGGACAGTTAGGAAGGAAGATGAGGCCATAACCTCCGTACAAAATGAGAGGTTGCTGGCCCTGGGCCCAAGGCCAGCCTCCTGTCACCTCCTCCAGTCAAAGCCCCTGAAAGCTCAGTCAAGCGGAGAGCATGAGCTGCAGACCACTGTGGGTCACAGGTGTGGGCTGTGATGCCTTTCTGTGGGCTGGATTTACAGTGGAGACTCACCAACCTTTCAGACAACGGAAGTGTAAACTGGAGCCCCCAGAACACACAGTAGATGAGCCTGGACTCAGAACTAAGACTTTGCTGCTCAGTACTGTGTGGCTGCTGAGTAGGATGGGAATTTGGTGCCATGGCAGTTGACAAATGCTGGCAAGCGCTGTTTCTTCATTTGTTTATATTTTCTGCTCTGAATCAAGGACATCTTGCCAACAGATATAGCTGTGTTTCCGGCAGTGGGAGAGATAAAAGGGGCTGTTCTCAGATCAGACCTCTGGGAAGGAGCGTGAGGGCCAGCGGGGTGCGGAGAGATGCTGGGAGGAGAGGGCTGGGGTCTGAGGGGGGCAGCTGAAGAGGGACTAAGACACTCAGAGTCATTTATGAGCTGGAGCCACTGGAATGAGGGAACTGACTGCCACAGGTGGGGAGCGTGCCCAGACCATGAATCGGTAGCCCCTTACCTATGCCGTGCTTCCTGAATTCCTTCACTACTCCCAGACTGAGAATGTACGCAACCTGCGTGTCCACAGAGAAGTTGGAGGCTAGAATATCTCCATCCTGAAGAGAAAGTGCAGAGGTAAAGTCAGGGTAACTCTCAGGGTACATGGGCTGACACGGCAGAGCCCAGCTGTGGTTTATGCACCTACTTCCTCGGGCCACCCAGGAGTAAGAGGGGCAGAGCAGAGAGCGTAAGTAAGAGTCCTCCAGCTGCGTGTGGAATAAGATGGTTTGAGCCCTGCTGGTAAAAATCTGCTAGAAGAATGAAAGGAGCTTCCCTCAGGATGGGCTGGGCTGGGTAAGGACAGGAGGGTCACTTTACGCTAGAACCAGGGAGTGTCAGGCAGGTAAAAAGGCAACAACTATCCCATGTGCACACTCAGCAGGCACTCAACATGTGGCAATGGACACTACAAGGCTTCTGGACAAATGCAGTTTTAAAGGTTTAAAGAAGTACACACTTGTTCTAGCACTCAGAAGGCTCTGGCAGGACAATGGTGAGGTCAAGGCCAACCTGAGGTACACAGACCTTGTCTTAAAAAAAAAAAAAGCAGGCCAGGTGTAATAGCATACACTTGTAATCCTGGCACTCTGGGAGCCTGAGGCAGGAAGACTGCAAACTGAAGCCCAACACAGGCAACTTATTGATACCCTGTCTAACAATAAAAAAGATCCAGGGATGTAGCTCAGTGCAAAGGCCCTGGGTTCAATTCTCCAGCACCACCCCACCCCCACCTACACACGAAGTACACACTGCTTTGGGTGGATGCCCACCCTTCTCTGCCACCCACACCACTCCACATGTCCCTCGTGTTCCAGATGTGGAATTCTTGCAAGGCAGAATCATGAACCCAACCATCACAAGGTTCTTATGTTCTCCTTCTTCATCAAGAACAAAAAGGACCTGAGGTACGCAGAGTTCTCTACCCAAAAAAAGGGCACTGGGCAACTCAGCCTTTCTGCTCCTTGTCCACTGTTTGCCAAGTGGCTCTCTTGTGCTTGTGGTCAGGTGGGCCCAACCTGCTCCCTGCTCCCTGTCTGAGCAGCTCCACGATGCAATGAAGTGACACAGCCAACTCAGAGAAAAGCATCTTCCACCACTCTTGTTATTCAAAGCCCTGGCTGAAACCATTCAACTGGCCCTGACCTAGGACTGACTCTCCTGAGCTTCTCAGCAAGGTCTGGGCCAGGGGTGGGAGCACACAGGGTCCCTCCCCTGAGATGTCCCTTAGAAGCAAAAGGGTCTCCATGCCTGTCTCAAGGGAAAACAAACATGTTTCAGAGGGGTGCAGAGATCCAATCACCATGCACTATGGGGCTGGATGATCTCCTGGGCACTTGGGAAAAGCCACAGGCAGGGATTATCAAGAAACACAGCAAGGGGCAGGTGAGACAGTGTCCCACATAAAAGGAAACATTAAAAGGATACAGACCCTTCCTTTCTTTCTGTTGTCTTAGTGCTGAACAATGAAAGAAAGTTCAAGAGGAAGCTAGGCTAGAGAAAGTTACTCTCAGAAGAAACCAGAGTATAATTGTGTGCATAATGTGGTAGACTTTACTAGACCTAGATCCTTAAAAGGGAGAGATGTCCCTTCTTGTGTTTTGAGGTTTGTTTGGGATTGCTGAGGATGGAACCCAGGGTGTCACACTTGCTGGGCAGCTGTTCTGCCAGCCCAACCCTATTTCTTGCATGTTTGAAAAAAAAATAACCTCAAGCCAAACAAAAAGAACTATCTGCCAGTGGTTGGTGGGCTTTCCCCTCCCCGGAGTAAATACCAGTGTGGCAAACACCAGTCATCACTGAATGATCAACAGAATCTTGAAGTCAGCCGCAAGGAACAAGAGGTCCTGGCCATGACCTTGTAGTTTATGTTTAGAGCTGGGACCACTATCCACGGGGGCTCCAGATTCCCATGCGGCCTGAGACAGGTAGGTGGTGGAGGGGTCTGTGAAGGTGGATACAAAGAAAGTAGATCTTTAGTTTCCCTAACCTCAAGCTGAAGTGCCTAGCATTTCCTTTGAGAGACCACAGCAGTGTTGGCCGTTTCTGGGACGCTGCCACCAACACAAAACACAGACATTTTCACAGCACATGGGAGCCGTGCAGTTCCCAGTGCCACTCCCGCCCCTTCCTACTTCCAAACGCCATCCTCACTAAGCCTGCCGTTAGATCTTGTGCCTCAGTGTACCAGCAGAGGTGCACAAATCCCTATGTGACACACACAGAGACCACAGGACACTGTCTTCTACACAGCACTCGTCCCTCAGGACAGACTCCCAAAAGAAGGCCATGCAGCAGGCGATGCGATTCTGTCTAACCCCCTGTAGCCCTCATCCAGCAACTGTGAGTCAAAGTCATCACACACAGACATACCTCTTTGTGTATTTTGGTCCTGCTCTTAATTTCAGCTACTATCATTCCCACGATGGCGCCTCTATAGGTGGCAGCAAGGGAGAAGAACTTCTTGTTGGATGTGATATCACGATACCATGAGTCTGGGTACCTGAGGGAGGGAACACACTCAGGTGAGCCCATTGTGCTTGTGACAACAGAGCCACGGGGACCCCGGCCTGCTCTGCCCATCGTGTACTCTCTACCTATCACAGCTGTCTTCTCAAAACAGCCATCTGTCCAGGTAGGATTGGGAATTTCGGATATGAAAATGATTTTACCAGATCTAAGACATGAGAAGGGGAAAAGCTCCAATAGAACTATTTCCGGGGCAATTAACGCAGGGCAACACAAGGCAGCCTGCCCCTTCACTAGGCAAGCTGAAATTTTAGGGCTCTAGGTAACCCATGAGCACTCAGGTGATTTCCTGTAAGAATTCTGTGACAGTAAGAGAATGGATCTGAGTTTGACACTTCCCTGAACAGAAGAAGAGACACGACCTCCAGGGCAATGTGTGGCCCGGGGTCCAGAGGCTTTGTACCAAGAACAAGGCCAAGACGCTACTGATCCTACTTATCTCCTTGAGCTGAAGCGTTAGACGCAGGAGTACGTGCACCTCTGCTGGTACACTGAGGCACAAGATCTCACGGCAGGCTTAGTAAGGATGGCATTTGCAAGTAGGAAGGGGCAGGAGTGGCACTGGGAACTGCACGGCTCCCATGTGCTATGAAAATGTCTGTGTTTTGTGTTGGTGGCAGCGTCCCAGAAACGGCCAACACTGCTGTGGTCTCTCAAAGGAAATGCTAGGCACTTCAGCTTGAGGTTAGGGAAACTAAAGATCTACTTTCTTTGTATCCAATCTCACAGACCCTTGCATGGCTGTCATGTGCTATGGAAATGTTCATGCTTTGTGCTGGTGGCAGTGCCATAAAAACTGCCCATGCTTCTGTGGGGGGATGAGAGAGAACACCGAGGTGAAGACTCAAGACACTGTCCCTGCAGATCTATCCCAAACCCAGGAAGCCCTGGCCAGGATAGGGGGATATTAAGGTTCATGGATTTTGCCTCTTAAACCGGGGACTGCAGGAGCTGAAGCCGTGGGGAGGTGCTCTGCTTAGCTCTGAAAAGGCTACTGGCCATCCACCAAAAAGGACCTGAACACTGCCCAGGTTCACTCCAGGGACCCAGGAGCACCCTGCCAGCCGTTTGGGTCAGGATGGGGCACGGCCACTGGTGATGACCATCACTCCACCATCGTGGGGACCTGAGGCCTCAGGCGCACCAAGGTTTGTGGAAAGGGGGTCAGGTTGGTGCCTCAGCGGGCACAGAGGCCTACAGCCCCATGGGGTTCTCTACAGCCCCATGGAGCTCACAGCACAGCTTACTTCTACTCAATGGCACTCCTACTTCCCCGGGCTACTTTCAGCAGGGAGACTGCAGGCTTGAAGAATATTTTTAAATTATTAAGCCACTGTTAGCCCACATCCCCAGAAGTGTTAGAAGTCACAGGCCCAGAGGTGCATGAGGAACTCTGTCCCTACCTTTTTTTTTAAAATTTTAAAGAGTAAAAGAAGGATAACATAATAATGGGGGGAGGGGCTTACCAAATTTGTCCCTACCTTCTACCAGCCATGTGGGCTCATAAGTTTAAGGTTAAGACTCATTAAAATACTGATGGCTGCCAAGGTCTTATATATTTTTAATTTTAGAAGTTTGTGTCTGAGCCAGGCATGGTGGCGCATGCCTGTAATCCCAGCACTTGGGAGGCTGAGGCAGGAGGATCCCTGTAAGTTTGAGGCCAGCCTGGGCTACACAGTGACATAGTGAGGCCAGGCCAGCCTGAACTAAATAGCAAGACCCTGTCTTTAGATAATTACATACATACAAACAAACATAAAATAATAATAAATAAGATAAAGTAAAAGTCTGTGTCTGTTTTTCTCATTACAAAAGCTTTCTGCATATAACATAGAATGAGGTTAGGAAATATAGACAAACAAAACCAGAAATCTGTAGACACTAGTCATCCACCCACTTCATACTACTGACAGCACTTGGTTACAAGGTACTGACTGGTTGGCCTCAGAAAATGATCCCAGAGTGAAGGCCTCAAAAGAAAAGTTCCTCTCTGACTTTCTCCCACCCTCTTAACTCTTGCCCTCATTCTCCCGAGGCCAGCCACAGAAACTAAAATCTCTCCGGCCAAAGGTGGGAAGGGCACAGAAACCAGACGCTCCTTCCCCCAAAGCCAACCATAAAACCGAAACTCTTACTCTAACCACCACTACCTGTCTGTGGCTATGAAGAACTCTCTGACCTATTTTATCTGATGGCAGATTTAAGATTCTCATTCCAGAAAGCATCTGACCTCACACCCAAAAGGAAGGAAGACGTCAGAGAGCCCAAGAGGAATCTCAACAGACAGGACTTGGCTGAATCCCCTACCCAAATTTATGAGCACTGGGTGAAAGCCTTTCCATCCTACAATTTCTACACTGCTGTCCCTGCTTCATCAAGCCTACACAGGAAAATGGAGAGTTCACCGTGGATACTTTGGTCTCCAGTCTGAAGGCTCCCATGTCACATACGACTACGATCGAATACATTTATTCATCTCTTCTCCTGCTAACCTGTCCCTTGTTATATATGGTGTCATCCAGAACCATCCTTACCTCTTCTATAGCATGTATTTTAAAAAGTTTTTATCCTGTGCATATTAAGTGAAAGTGGGATTGTGGCACATACTTGTCCTCTAATTTGCTTTTTTTCACTTAATACCTACCTGTTTAAAAAAAAAAAAAAACTTTTCCTGTCAACAGATGTACCTTTTTGAAAGATTTCTTTTCCCCCCCTTCCTGGCTGAATAGTACTGCATGTTTTGTTTGTGATACTAGGGCTTTAACCCAGGGCTAGACAAGCATTTTGCCACTGAACTACATCCCCAGCCCAGTTTTTATTTTATTCTGAGACAAGTTTTCACCAAGTTACTCAGGCTAGCCTTGAATATGAGATCCTCCTGCCCCAGACTCCAAATAGCTGAGATCACACAGATGTGTGCCATCACTCCCGGCTCAATACTATTTTTGTAGGCACATATCCTAATGCATGTAAACAATTCCTTTTAGTTAGGATACATGAATTGCTTCTAAATTTCGTGATGAATATACAACGCCACACAGAACATCTTTGTAACTAAAGCTTCCAGGCAGATCCCTTGGGGGAACTTCACATGAGGAAGGAGGCAGGGTACTGGAGCTCCACAGCCGTGGGGTCCACAACGATGCCCCTAGGCCTGTCCTTGCCTCTGCTGCACAGTGATGGGCCCGAAGGGGCCTCTATCAGCCCCAACACAGATGTGAACATCCCCCCACTGCCTCCCTGCACCCACAGCCCAGGATGCAGGGGCCCAACACTTACTCGATGGGGAACCAGTCGCTGCACAGGTGCTTCACGGTGTCTATGTCATCGTGGCAGAGGAGGCGCAGGCTGACCTCGCTGAGGGCGCTGGACGGCACCACCTCTGTCATTCACACCTGCAGGGAGAAGGGGAAGCATCACCCAGTGGCTCATTTACCTGTTCTTCTCCTGCGCACTGACCCTGGGAGGAAAGCAAGGTGCATGAGCCAGGGAAAGTATTTTCTCACAGGAGCTTGGTGCCGGCTTTGCAGGTGAGGGGGCACAGGTGGGACGAGGCCTGGAGGGAGCGAGGCAAGCGTGCCTCCAGCCCATCCCTCTTTCCTCTCCTCACTGCGCTTCCCATTGAGCTCCCCAAGTGGCCCCCACACCTCTTGGGCCGGTCATGTCTTCTGACAGGTTGCCCGGCTGCAGAAAGCACAGTGACCCCAGCCCACCGATTTCTCCCCACCTTGGCCCCATGGCTGCCAGCAACAGATAAGGGGTTCAGCAGCCCGTCCCTTGTTCCCCCAGGAGCAGCCTTGTGGGCCAGGGCGAGTGAACAGTTGGATGTTCAGGTCACAGAGGGTGGGGCACACCCCACTTCTTCCCTGTAGAGAAGACAGACATTCACAGGCAGACAGGGACTCTGAGAGACACTAACAGCTCAAAATAGCTGCCAACACTCTTTTTTGCTGTGGTAGTGGTCCTGGGCTTTGAACCCAGGGAGCACTGACCTATATCCCCATCGCTTTTCTTGATTTTGTTTTGAGACAGGGTCCTGTTAAGTTGCCCGGACTGGCCTCAAACTTTCAATCCTCCTGCCTCAGGCTCCCAGAGTGCAGGGATTATAGGCATGGCCAGCTCTCCCTTTTTTACTTGAAAAGAGGGAGGGAAAAAGAAAATTCAAGTGCTGGGCTCTGACAAAAAGGAAAACAGACTTCTTTAGGTTGGAAGCTGGTAGTTAAAAAAAAACCACAACAGATCACTTGCCAGGCCTGGTAGCACACACCTATAATCCCAGCACTCAGGAGCCCAAAGCAGGAGGATTACTGTGACTTTGAGGACTGGGCTACACAGTGAGTTCAAAAGTCAGCCTGAACTACATGGTGAGATCTTGTCTCAAAAACACCCCCCACCAAATACATTATTCATTTATCATGTTTTTCTAAAAGAACTATGTTTATCCCCAATTATCTTTTTCAGATACAAATGACAGATAATAAAAGTAAAAACAATGTGAACCAGAGAGTGGCAAAGCACACTGCACCCAGTACTCTGGGAAGGCACAGGGAACATTCCGGGGCCATCTGTTCGGCCTCTCCCTCTTCTGGCTGTGACCAGTGGGAAATGGGCCAAGCCCTTGGGCATTCCTGCCCTAAGTGCTGGGTCAGCACAACACAGCCTTCATTTGCTTGTTTCTGCAGCACTGGAGATCAAACCCAATGTTAGGCAATGCTCTACCACTGAGTCACATCCTGCTCCAGTGTAGCCTTCAGACCTAACTTCCCGGTCACCAATGATGCCTGGCGTATGACAGGATAAACGACATCCAACAAACATGGATGTTTGACATTCTAAATTCAGTCTTTTCAAAAAGTCAGTATCATTAAGGGTACAAGTATAGATGAAAAGACACAAAGAAAGTATAATGCCTAAACCTCTACAAGCAAAAATAGAAGCTGAAGCAACACTTGGAGAAAACGTAAACATAGAGTGCCCTATGTATTACGAAGTTGCTATTAATTTTCTTAGATGCAATGAGGTGGACAGCAAACACAGGAGGAAGTCTTTCTTAGAATATGCATGCTAGGGCCGGGCGTGGTGGCGCACGCCTGTAATCCCAGCACTGGGGAGGCTGAGGCAGGAGGATCGTTGCGAGTTCGAGATCAGCCTGGGCTACAAAGTGAGCTCAAGGCCAGCCTGAACTGCATAGGGAGACTCTGTCTCAAAAAGGCCAAAAAAAAAAAAGAAAGAAAGAAAAAAGAAAAAGAAGATGCATGCTAAAATATTTTGGAGTAAAAAAATCATGACTTTAAGTGGTTCAGTGAGTATGACAAAATGCTATTAACTGTCAGCCTATTAACCTGTAAGGCACACCACCCTACTCACTATCCTATATATGTAACTTTTCTACATGCTAGAAATTTTTCCTAATAAATGTTGAGGTAGAAAGGACAGTCATTACCTGCCATAGTCCAGGCAATGATCAGGGACCTAATGGACCCGGACACTCAGCCCTCATAGTTGAGCAAAGCCAAGTGAAGCACCCACAGCAGCTGCTTGAGGTCACAATACCTGCTGCCCCAAACACGGCTTATGCCTGAGCACGATGCCTTCTCCCAGCTGCCACAGCTTGTAGGGTGTCCACTCTGTCACCCCAGGAAGAGCTTCAAAAGTCCCACAGCTGAGTCCACTGGTTCCTGAGCTCTCATGGTATGGCCACCTCCGAACAGGACACCACTGTGTGGCTCACTAGGAATGGTGGGATGAATGCAGGTGGCCGGCAAGACTGGCCAGGACAGCTAGTGGCATTTAGGCAGCCACAAATAGATCCACCTCAGCGGGGGAAAGACTGAGGCACAGGAAGTAGAACAAGAAAGTCCTGGACCTGGGGCTGGGGATTTAGCTCAGCGGCAAAAGCGCCTGCCTGGCAAGTGCAAGGTCGTGAGTTCGGTTCCCGGTACCGGAGAAAAACCAAAAAAAAAAAAAAAAAAAGAAAGTCCTGGACCTCTCTGTGGTTGTCCAGGGCAGGGGACTGACCACAAAGGTGCCCAGGGTTGGGGAAGAGATTTCTTAAGGGGACGCAGTGCTCTGTATGTTGACTGTGGTCACCCGTACATACATGCATGCGCTTGTCTGGACTCACTGAACTCTACACACAGACACATTGCATTGTATGTATGTGTATGGAGCTTTCAGAATAATTTTTAAGGATTTCTTTAAAAACCTCTATGAGGCTTGACAGAAAAGCTGGAAATCCTACGTCATGGAATTTACACATTTCCGCCCTAGTGTCCTTGGCACAAGGTTCTTCCCAGTCCAACTTTCAAGAAAAACACTGGGGCCCAAGATACATTAACTTGTCTTCTGTGTTTCCAAAGGCTGGCTTTTCATAGGCCTCAACGTGAAAACAGACACATGCACATTTAACTGAGGAAAAAGCACAGCACCTCCCAGAGCCTTGTCTCGCCCAGCCCAAGCAGCCACCAAGAGGTAGGGAGGTTCAGACAAGGGAGAATCTAGATGCCTGTGTGCTATGAACGGGAGGTGAGGGGTCAAGGGGTGGGGGTAGCCAACCCACACAGAGAGAGGTCCCTCACCCTGGGACCCATCAGGGCCCCCCTTTACAGTGGGGATCTCTGTTGACGCAGAGGTGATGACCACCCAAGGCAGGCCTGTGGCCCCCACCCTGTCCCTGGCCTGCCCTGTGGCTATCTGCCCCCACTTCCTTCATCCTGCCCTGACTCCACATTATTTGTTCCAGGGACAGCAGGCTTGCAGGAGGGGAAGGAGCTGGCTGAGGAGGGCCGCCCTGGGCCCTGCTGAGGGGAGAAGACACGAGCTGGCCAAAGGAGGGCTCGTGACCAGGTGCGGCCCTCCTTCCAGGTCTGGCTGCCGGAGTGAGGGGTTCATTTCTCGGGCCTAGGGGCTTGAGTATATTGACAGGGATTGCTGCTGTCACCAAACCTGCCCTGCGGGTACTCTGCCTCTCAGATCAGATGAGCCAACACCAAAGTGCCTGTATCTGGTCAGGCTGTGGGACCCATACAGGAAGCTGCTCTTCCCAGGCTGTGCTTGGACAGGATGGCCATGCTGTCTGCCCAGGTCTTTCCATGAGCAGCACTGGTACTGCATGCAGAGTCCTCTCCCAGTCCTTCAGTGGTGTCCACAGCGGGTTCCACTGTGAAATAAAACTGTGTGAGTTGTTCCAGGAGTGTGGGGGCCTCAAGAAATGGCAGGGTCAAAGCCCCAGCAGATAGCAACAAATGTTCCAACCATGTCCAACTCAAGCCACCCCCCAACAGAACCTGAGCAAGGAACTTTCCAGGCCCCAAGGCAACCTGGGCAGGCCCAGAGTAGAGGAAACCGTGATGTCTCCGCTTTTATTCATCTGCAGGAGGTCTTTGCTCAGGTGCTGATGCACAACCACACAGAGACAGTAAGGAAGCAGCTGGAAGGATGGAGTGACTAGGACTCAGTCAACTGCTTCACACGCCCCCTGGAAACTTTCCTCCAAGGCTCTAAGGCTACCCCTTGATATAAGGGACAAGCTGCGGTGATGGCGAACCTTTTAGAGACCGAGTGCCTAAACTGCAACCCAAAACTCACTCGCTTACTGCGAAGTGCCAACACTGCAACTAAACCTGAATACTGAGGTTTTAATTTAGAAAAACTCTTACTGGCTGCCTGGCTGCTAGAGTGACTCGGCTCACTGCCAGCAGAGAGCACTTTGCACGCCTGCTGCAGCACGCATGCCACAGGTTCGCCACCACTGAGATAGAGGAAAGGGATCCTGTAGACACCCAAGGAGACAAAGACAGGTGCTCTCCATCCCAGGCCCTCCCAATGAGACAGGCAAACATGGCCAAAGTTGCAAACATCTAGGCCATCTTCATATAAAGGCATGGGACATGTTCTGTATTCCAGCATGGCTGTACTTACTCCACAGGAGAATGCCAAGTTCACTTCAATTTTTAGTCCAAACATGAAGCGTCCGGGTGTCACTCTTCAGGAAAACCTTATCCCCGGACGTCCTGGGTCTGTGGCCCAGTCATTTGTTGCAGGGCACGGGTAAGTGAAGCAATTCAGAGAGGGTAGACAGCAGAACAAGATCTGAACAGGTCCAGCTCTGCTCTCCTCACTGTTTACTCCCCTTTCCCAGCCTCAGTTTTTTTTTTTTTTTTTTGGTTTTTTTCCGGTACCTGGAACCGAACTCACGACCTTGCGCTTGCCAGGCAGGCGCTTTGCCGCTGAGCTAAATCCCCAGCCCCCAGCCTCAGTTTTTTTGTGAACCTCACCCCTCTGGCCCTGAAATGACCCCTCTGGTCACTGTGCAGAAAGCTGCCTGCTGCAGAGGTGGGAAGGTGCCGGCACCTAGACTTACCAATGTCCACAGAGGCTGGGCACCCTCCACTAA